TTCCTTCTGGAAGCCAGCCTTCTGTGGTGACTCAGTCAGAAGTCGATCGCGTTCCATCTCGAGAACTCGAATCTTCTTTTCGTTTTCCCGATTCTGGTGTTCTTGTCTCTCTAAGAGACTCTTCAGAGCTCTGTGCAAAGCATCTCGCTGTTCTTCGACGTCCTTGAGTCTCTCAGACAGTTGGTCTCGAGATTCACTAGTCTTAACTGACTTGGATCTCGACAAGCTAGAGGGCGCTCTTTGAAGCTTAAATGAGGGACTCGGGCCAGTCAAAGAGTTGGATCGAGACAACCGGGAGCTAGCGGGTACAGGTTCTTCTGATATGGTACCCATCGACTTAGACTGCATCTGTTTTAGCGATGTGTTTTCGACTTTGAGTGTCTGAAGTTCTTGTTGCATCTTTGTCGATTCATAGGTCATTTTTTCCAGTTCCGCCGCTTGCGCTTCGAGACCTTCCACACGAGCTCGTAGTTGCGGCACGACTTCGTCCCGGAGATTGTCGCGTTCGTTTGAAGCATTTTGAAGCTCGCTCTTGAGAGCTGTGAGCAAGTCCTCGAAGTTATCCTTGACCTGGCGCTCCTCAGTAAGCTTCCGCCGCAGAGTCTCGCAAGTGCTTTCCAATTCCTTGACGCGATCACTGGTGTCGGCACTGTTAACTCTCGCTAAATCAATTTGGGACGCCCTTTCTGAAAGTTCCCTGATCTGTTCATCAAGCTCTTGTCTTCTGGACCTCTCATCCTGGAGCTTATTAGTCAATTCCAGTCTAATCTGGGCCTTTTCCTGCTCCGACCTCCTCTGAATCTTCTCGATTTCTTCCCTTGATTGGTCATATTCACTCAATTTGGCCGAGCTGTATCCTGAATCCGAGAAGTAATCGCTAGTTCTCTTGTTTCCAGTCGTAGTAGGGTTATCCCTCTCTGCTTGTAACCTGTCGACTAAATCTTCTAAATCTATCTCACGCCGAATTGAGGCTGCCAATTCGGCCGAGATGGCCTTTAACTCGTCTTCCATTTCTTCGATTTGGAGAGACGGCGGTAGCGTAGCGGTTGGTGGTGTTGCCAGGTAAGATTCACAATAGTCTCTCGAATTTGGAGATCCAAAAAGCGCCTTGGGGGCATCAAGTAGTGATTGTGGTCCGATTGTTGTGACAGGGGATGCATCGGTAACACTGGCTGTCTTTGAGAAGTTGAAGGGCGATGGAAGAGGCGAAAAGCCTTTGTCCGAGACTTCAGTATTCGAAGGTGAAGAGGCCCAGCCAAAGAACGTTCCTAGCTTCGAGGAACCTGGTGACTTCGGTAATGGTTTGTCGGTATTGGGTGTTTTAACTTCGTAGCTGTCAGCCGTAGGGGTTGTATCATCTGGCTTGAGATTCAACTGTGGGGGTGTGGCCTTTCGGGTGACATGCAACGACATAGTATTAGAATGATTAGAATTACTATTACCCGACGAATCTGAATTATATCCGTCGAAAATATGCTCACTCAGCGGATCCTCCTCCTCGTCGCTAAAAAGGTCGTCATACGTGGTCTGTCCTTGGTATTGCGACAAATCGGTACTTTGGCGTGTTTGAGGAGCGGCAGGGTTGTCAGCCCGAGAATCTGGACGTTTGACTTCACCCGCTGTGACAGCCGGGTTAGACTCGGCAGAAGCCAACGGATGACGACCCACGGGAGGTTTTCTGGTTAATATCGAAGATTGATTAGCAACACTGAATTTAGATTGTTCGCGTTGGATTGCAGATTAATGAGACCCTGACTCACTCCGCGTTTCCCTGGATCAGAATGATGTCGTTGGGCGACTCTAATCCAAGCCCAATTGGAGGGCGAGGGAACTCGTACACGGTAGGGCTATCCAATGAGAAGGAACGCGAAAAACGTTGCTCTGGTCTGGGCAGGCCCTTTGTAATGGCGAGGTACTCTCCAGAGGAATATCTAGTGGCAATTGACGATGCGGTCGACGACAATGGCTTCCTTCGAATAGACCGAGTTGACGGCAAAACGGCGGAGCTGTCTATGACAAGATTCCGCGTGTTCCTCGAGACAGGTAGGGCGGCAGCTGACTCTAGGGATGGCGATTGGTCTGTAAGGGAAGGAAACGACTGCTGAAGGAAAGAAAGATCAGATGAGGCATGAGAAGTCTCAGAGTTGGCCGTGAGGGAGGGCCGGTGCTTGTGATCTTGGTTTGGGAAGTGAGGGACAGACATGGTGGTCGATCTACTCCCTTGTCAAATCACTCATGACTAGTCGGAATGTGGAGAGTTACAGGTCAGGGCCAAGAGATTATTGACTCGGTATACCAGGCGAGATGGTAATGTTTCACTGGCACTTGAGAAGGGAAACTTGAACAACCCAACAGTAGTTGGCGACCAGGAAAGCGAGAGCGCAACAACAGAGAAAGGACGAAAGTAACAAAATTCGTGTAAGCTAGGGGGGTGGAATGATCGAAAGGGGCATGGCGGCATGGGCTACCGTTGAATAGCGTCGCAATCGGTCTTTTGTCCATTATTAGACCATCAAAAGGATCAAGGGTATTATGAGCATTGGCAGCTTTGTGGCTCCTGCTTCGTTCTGCAGGCGCTTGAGAGTTGACAGGCATTGCTCTAGCGCGTATGCTTCCCCAGTTGTGCCCCTGGATCTGTTCTCTTTTGGTTCACTTGGCTTTCATGAGACGATTCTACTGGTCGGTCGCTATCTCGAATCCCTGTTAAACCTGTCAACCACTGATTAGCATTCCGGGTGTAGACCCTGTTGCATCCATTTTCGTTCATCTGCAATTTTAATTTCCCTGTATCCCCGAGAGAGAACCTTGGAAGTATCCCTCCTAACGAGGCTGGCAATGAACAACCCTGAAAGTAAGGACAAGAGATTCTGCAAGCGCATTCGCGGACACTTGGCTGAGAGGGAGGGCGAGTTATTTTAGTTGCGCACGACTCGCCAAGGGTCTGGATCCTGCTGCGTACTCTCTTGCGCACTCTCCTGCATACTGCAGGTACCATCTGCAGGCAACAGACATTTCGGTAAATGATCAGCCACACTCCTGCGGGGTGTTTGGTTCGCTTAGAGGGGCGTGTGCTGTAGGTAATCTCAACTTGGCGATATCCGACTTTCCCTTTTCGAGACCGGAGATAAAGATCGATCTTAATACTGGAATATGATTGCATGTTCCCTGGCGCCTCAAACGGCTAACGAGAAAGTCAAAGGCCAATTACTACTTGTCATTGAGCTCTTCATCTCGCGATTGTCATGTCTTAAAAACAGCATACCGCGCGGTAAGTTGCAGCGTTGAAACTTCAATATCCAATGGGCTGCAGCAATGTTTGTCAAGGTGAGAGGACATGGTCAGTCAGAATCTGGACCATGGAGAGGCTCTGCGCACGGTGTGAATACAAGACCCCGGAGTAACCAGGTCTTGTTACGAAGCCTTGATCCTGACCGGAAACTAGTCGTTGATAGATGCTTTGAATTGTTTTATTAGCTACGGAGTACATGAGCCTCAAAAGATTAACGGCCCGCCATAGGTACTTACTTACCTAAGGTACACTAGTACCACGTAAAGCACGTTGTACGTACGACAGTATACATGTAAGTAGTGCTAACGGGCCCCCGAAATCCGTCGGTGCTTTAAATAGACTTCAATGTCTTAAACTGCGCGTACTTAGCGGCCGACGCCTGCAAAATCTCACCATGTGGTTGATGGCGTTTTCCACGTATACTAAAAGCCATCAGCAGAGTCGCGCGGTAACTAGAGATCAGGAGTACTGGGCAATCCCTGCTGCGCATCAGTGGAACTGTCTTCAACGAAGGGTACCTAGTCCGCCTAGGCTAGATTCATGACCACTCGTTTCTCCAGTATCATCAGGGTCCTTAAGAGGCCACATTCAAAGAGGTGTTGTTTAATCAAGGTAATAGATTCATGCGACGAAGGAAAGTTCTATACAAAATAGAAGGGATGGGGAATAAACGATGATAGTGCAATGGCGTAACCCAATCGCATGGTGTTCTAAACTCCGACTGGACACATGTAAACAATTGGCCTAGCGCCAGGTCCGACATGACGCAGTATGTACCCGCAACCTTAGGTTTAACTGAACTCCTAGTGGCCATATAGTGGAAGAATTGAGACTGGCTCCTGAGGGGCTGAGGGGTCAGCTTTAGAGACTGGTTTAGCTTGGCAATATAAAGATACGTACAGTATTCTCTGAAATCCCCAAGAGTACCTACTTCATATCCTGATTTCTGCTTGATAATAAAACCGTGTAATTGAGGAATATGCTTTATCGCTGGTGTTGGACGTCCAATAGATAGAGACACCTGGAAGTACAGCGAAGTGTATTTCACAGTCAAGGACACAAAGTCGGCAGATGCCGATGCCCAGGTAAAGACGTGCTTTCCAATACGAGAACAAATACCATGCAACAGCCTAAATATAGTGTTCTCTGACGTAGAGAGACAAATATGATGGTTCTCAGCAAGAAAATGTTTGACCTACGTTTATGGATCAATTCGTCAAGAGATGAGTAAGGCATACCATTCAAGACACACTCTCTTGAAGTCTTGGAGTCTTAGGAAGGGCTTTGACGCCTACGGAATATATACTAAACTGTTAGCTTGTACACAATTCAAAGGGTACCTTAGCTTACCTAATTCCATGAGTCAAGTACAGCCTGTAAATGAGACGGGAAACGCAAGAGAGTACAAGGTGATTTGTTTCAAACGACCTGAGATAAGAATTAAATGATCATATAAATTCTTCTCTCTGAGAGGAACACCTTAAGCTGTGTAATGCGGAGTCTACTTTTGGGGAACGACCTCAACATATGTTGGCAGACCAGATGTAACTCATGTGAAAATAAATCCTTTCTGGTATTTGTATCAGATACCCGCTTTCCAGCCAAATCCACCCAATAGGACAAGCAAGAGCGACCGGCACAACTTCGGAGCTCCGTGCCTGCTTCCCGCACTACCGATATATTCCGGCAAAACTGACCAACCATCACCACAGCCCGGTTAGCTCAATCGGTAGAGTAAGTTGAATATCTTCACACGATTTCACGAGTCATTCAACTAACAATTCAACAGGCGTGAGACTCTTAATCTCAAGGTTGCGGGTTCGACCCCCGCATCGGGCTCAATTCCTGATGCGTTCCTATCATAGGAACACTTCGAACCAAATTTTTTCTTTATTTGTATAATTTTGCTTTTTGTGGACTTTTAGGGCATAGTAGGACAAGCTGTCCTTACGAGAAACATAACACCTATCAACATCTTGGTAAGCATGATAATCACCGGTTGAATCAGATTTTCAACCAGCCCATTGTTGCACGAGCGACACGCCCGGATCTCTTTTTTGGTGGAAGGCTGCGTGATGTTGTGCTTTATTAGAAATCCACCGGTTTCCTTGTTTCAAGCTGTCGATCCTACAAGAAGCACCCATTGGGCCTACAGGATGTGTGAACGGCTACCAGCAGAGGATGTTAATACGACACGGCATCGATCGAAAGACTTCGGGACAGTCGTGGTCTGATGTTGTTCGGAGCTAGGCCTGTGTAGGTACAATACTCCGGCCTGTTAAGTCCGAGCTCGTTTTTGACATACGTCGATCCGCCTGTCAACGCCGCTCAAACCGCGATTCGGCTGCTCCATCGAGATCCACTGGATTTACGTTGAGGCATGGTTGTCTAAAGAGAGTCGAATCACCATGTATCAGGCAAGAATAGGTACGTAGAATGCAATTTATATCCATTACTCATTTAATATGCAAGAATTAATAACGTGCCATGCTCGCCTTTTGCAAATCCATTCCTAAACGCCGATGCTATGCAACTCTTCGGAATATTTCAAAACACGCTGTTCTTGCTCCATTTATTGGCAGCCCTGATTCTCCTGCCAAAGAAGTAAAACACGTACGGCACGGGTATCAGCAAGGACGCAAAACCAGCGAAAATGCTCGACCCGGGTCCGACCCCAATGTTGTGGTACATAGGTGTAACGACGAGCGGGAACGCTGCAGCGAAACAACTCCGCAAAAAGGTATTAGCGGCGACAGCGCTGGCAGCATACATCTGAAACGTATCAACGAGGTAGTTAAGCGCGGCCTGGAAAATCGTGTTGAAGCCGCACCCCGTAAGGTAGAGACCGATAACAGGGACTATCCAATGCACATCTGGGTTTGCTGTCCAGCCGGTGATAAACTGGCCTGTAGCGAACAGCACAGATCCAAGCATCATTGGCGGAAGCCTTTTCTCAGGTACAGGTCGATCTCCTACTGCGTGATACGCCTTATTGTAATAGAGCTGGTTGGACATATTGATAGCGGCGCCAGTCATAGACCCGATGAGGATTGCTAGGAAAGGCAATTCGCTCGCCACTGTGCCCCAACCCCTGATCTCTCCGAATATGATAGGAACCGCTCCAAGTTGCATGTAGAGAATACCGTAGCAGAAACTTGCATACAGCGCGACGAGGAAGCATATGGGCGTGCAGAGCAGCTGTATTGGGCGGACAAGGAACTTCCTAGCGAGTTCTATGATACTGACATCCCACTCTTCGAACTTTGCATGCAACGCCCAGTTACCCGTCTCGAACCGTAGTCGGCGCGCCTTGATAACAAGGAGACTCGGCGGATACGTCTCGTCAATGAAAATGACGGCGAATGTTAGGATGACGGATTGTATTATCCCGGTTGTATACTCAGTCCACCGCCAACCGAGATCTGGTCGCGCCACACATGCGGCAGAGACGATGGGTCCTACCGTGGGTCCACCAACGACTGCCATTGCATACCCTGCCATTGCAATGCCACGATATGCCGGTGTGAAGAGGTCACCTAGGACGCCACCGGTATTTGTCACCGGCGCCGAGGCAAAGATGGCACCCCAGAACCGTGTCAGCATGAGAGTCTGGAAGTCCTTGGCAGTTGCAGATCCGAACGAAAAACATATGGATACGAACATCGGCGTGAGAACCGCGACGCGTCGGCCATAAACTTCTGAGAGCGGCGCCCAAAGCAGCGGTCCGATACCAAACCCGAGAAGGAAGAGTGTAGTCCCTAGCGTCGCCGTTTGCGTGCCCACGCGAAACTCTTCGGCGATTTGTAATGTGCCGGCGGAATAAGACGACGATGCCCAGGTAGCAGACATAGTGACTAGACCATATAGAAGTGTCGTGAGTACCTTTTTCTGACGAGGCCAGTTTATAGGCCGATAGGGGTCGTCAGGCCCGTCGAAGTCAACGAGACATTCTTGTCCAGTCCTCACTTGTGCCAGCGGGTGGGTGAATGGCGCTACTGCCGGTCTAGAGCGTACCCGCGATAGGACGGTGTCTCGTCGAGAGACCGTCCGCGAGAGAGACCTTGAAGGTCCATTCGGGATGTCCCGGCCGCTTGCGTGGGTCTGGGACAGGCGTTGATCGAGGGTGCATGGCCGGTGTCCATCATGATACTTTTCTGTCTCATTACATTCGCAACTAGACGGATCCCAGTTGGGGGCCGTTGCAGGTGAATCAGCGTCTGGAACCGGTTCCCTCGAAGACCCGCTGTGCGAGTGTTCGGAATCGTCTTTGTCTTCAATTGACATTATTGCCCTCTGAAAATACCCGGAAACCCAAAACATGAATAAGTTCAGGCCATGGCTAAAGTGAATGCTATTAAGTGGCGTCACTCCAGCAGCAGATATACGTTACATCATGATTTTTTGTATGGGACCGAATGCCGAATAGTTGATAGAGCGAGGTTCCGACGCTAATGACGTAGTAATTTCGGGAACGTTCAAGACTCCAGCACGAAGGGTTTAACACGGTAATAACTCGCCGTTACGATTTCCTGCCCAAGTAGACTGCGAGACCGCTATACGAATAAAGGTAATTGTCTAAAAATTAACAGCTCGTAGAAGATTGCCTACTAAGGGATTACGAATCAACCACCGAGCAGCAACAATGCCTACCTACTATATAGAGATTTTATCCCGGGCCCGGCCCGGCCAAGACCGGAGCGGGATTCCCCGAAGACCCTGAATGCATAGACACTTTAGCCGCAGATGGAATTGAATTTCAAAACAAAACAAAATCTCTATACCTCGCCGGTCTTTCCCCCTCTTAAACGAGACCTTTAGCGCCGCCAAGGATGGAAATGTGATTGTTACTGTCCTAATTGCAGCTTTGCTTTATCTATAACCTATATACATTAGGTTAGGTATCTATAATCTATATCTTTATATGCAAGTGAGCCATTGCGAAGTGTCTAACTCGTAACGATCATTTTTGTTATCATCACAATTTAGGGTTGAACTTGCTGCGGATACGTTCTCCGAATATGAAGAAAACCAGCGGTATCGGGACGAGCGCCAGCGCGATGAATCCGAGCAAGCTATTACCCCATCCGAGACCCAGCGCATCATACATGTCAAGGCCGCCGAGGGGAAGCAATGCGCCGAGGAGCGACCGGAGAACGGTCATTGCAGCGGTAGCGGATGCCGCGTAACGAGGATACGTGTCGAGCAGGTAATTCTGGACGCTGAACTGCGAAGCGTGTCAGCTTATCCTGTGGAATATTAAATGACAGAGTAAATGCGATGGCTTACCATAACACCCATGAGACCGGCACTAAAGATTAGAACACCGACCATAGGGACGATCCAGTGCACGCCGAAGTTGGTAGTCCATCCGTAGATGAACAGGCCAATGGGGAGTGCGATACCGCTGGGGATGGTGAGCGTAGGCGCGAGACGAACCTCGGGCTTATGCGTAATCCCTTTTGCTTGATTCCGCTTGACCATTATATCCGTGAGCTGTCCGAAGCCAACAACACCGATCAACATACCCAGACCGGCAGGCAGGAATGTCAAGCCGCTGTCACCCTCGCTGAAGCCGTATTGGTCCGTATACACGAAGGAAAATGTCGTTAAGAGCAGATACAGAATGCCGTAGGTAATGGCAACATACAGAGACATAAGGGTGACGATGGGCGTGACCAGTAGGAGCTTCATCGGGCGGACAATGGCGAGCTTGAATTGCTCCTTGGGGGTTAGTCGTCCTGCGAGTTTGCTGTATAAGCTCGGATTACCGGTCTCCTTGCGGAGCTTCTCAGTCTTGCGCTCGAGAAGGACAGGTGCAAAAGTCTCTCGGAGGAAGAAGAAAGAAAGAGGGATTAGGGCACCACCCTGCATTGACGTTAGCTCACATATCATATAATGAGTAATGTCTGGAAGTGAGGTAACTTACCATAATGACAAGCAGCCAGTACACCCATCTCCATCCGACAGCCTGGATCAAGTAGCCACCAGCGATAGGACCGACGCAAGGACCGAGCAGGGGACCCAAAGCCCAGACAGACATAGCCCTACCTCGCTTCTCGACAGGCATTATGTCCGCAATGCTACCACTTCCGATGGTTAGGGGCACCGATCCCGATAACCCCATAAGTAACCGGAACGCCATCAGCATTCCAATACTCTTAGAAAGAGCGGTGCCAACAGAGAAGCAGACGAAGAGGACGTTGCCGAAGATGTACAGGGGTCGGCGACCGAGGATCTCACTTAGCGGCGCTACTAGGAGAGGGCCGAAAGCAAAACCTAGGATATATACCGAGACCAGGAATGTGGCCACGGTAGACGATCTCTCTTGAAACTCGACCATAATGCCAGGGATACCGGGGGCAAACATTGAAGAGCCCAAGGGGCTGCAGTTAGTTAGCACGAGAACGAACAGGGAAACATAGGGGGTGTCATAGGGGGAGAATGCTCACGTTACGATGGTCATTACAGATAAGGTGGTGATGTTCAGCCATTTCTTCGTATCGGACCAGTTCATCGGGTTTTCTGGGTCATCAGGTCCGTCCCAGTCAACGACATTCGGATCCTTCTCATCGGCATCGAGCTCGCGATTACTGAGCCCCGCCTCGATATCTGGATCTGACTCTGGCCCGACGGTTGAAGAGTCTATATCAAGCGTCGGAGGGGCGACGGATTCCTTCTCCGTCTTTTCGGTATCCATGGTGGGAAGATCGTGCTGCGCCATCAAGGGTGACGATATGGTACAGTGAAGTTTTCCCTCGAGAATCCCTGGAGCTTGGGGGAGCTTGGCGGCTTGGAGAATCGATAGTACACTGCGGCTAACATGATGCTGGGCAGATCAT